TATGGATGTGCTCAAGATTATAGACAATGGCAGACTTTCTATTAAAAAATGTCAATCAATCCAAGAATATGGAGCACAGTTAAAATGTCTATATTTAAGGATTGTGTGTGATGCATGCTTGAAATGTCATACCCATATTTTAAAGATTATTTTAATAAATTATCTGTTTAAAACAAACAGGAAAAATATCTCAGCAATCCTGCAATATGCAGTACAGTTCAGCTATTAGGTGAAACTGTGATTTCTAACATTGAACACTAGTGGATTTTTAACATCTATCGTTTCTCTCTTTTGCTGTGGCAGCTCAGCAGCAACACTGTGGAGAAGATTCTGTCCCACTAGACTGCGAAGATATTTATGACCAAGGTTCAGAAACAGATGGCGTGTACCTCATTTACCCTGCAGGCCCCAATATCCCAGTGCCTGTGTATTGTGATATGACAACTGACGATGGAAAATGGACGGTAATGTGGGCAAGGGGCAGTTTGTTATGTGGAGTAAAGCCCATCTTATTGCTGTACTAGCATCCAGAGTTTGCTTGTTTATTTGTTTATTTATTTACTTACTATATTTATACCCCGCCCTCTCACTCCGAAGGGGACTCAGAGCAGCTTACAAGTTATATGTACATACAATATATTATCTCATTAGCATAGCACAATATTAGTATTATATATTACTATATTGTACTATACCACTATACCGCAATATTATGATCCATCTATTATAATAGATAGATCAGACAGGAATTCCTGTAGTTCCCATTATGGAGCTGGACCAAATGTTCAGATGGGCCCAAGATGGAGGGACAGTCTGAATTCTAATGGGTAGTCTGAATTCTGTGCCCTCTATCTCTGTTCTCTCATTAATATTATTTAGATATGACTATCATTTCACCTCTTGATCTTCTTTTCTCCAGGCTAAACATACCCAGTTCCTTAAGCTTTTAAAAACATTTCCCAAGGCCTGGTGGAATTGCAAGGTCTTAATCTACCTTGGGACACCATGGAGAAGGCCCTTGCCCATGTCCTCACCAGTTGTATCTGATGGAACAGAGAGAAGGGCTCCCCCAGCAGATCTCAAAACACACTGGTTCATATGAGAGAATATAGTCCTTCAAATAGCTTGAACGTGAGCCATATAGATCATGAGCAGATTGCTTACTAGAACTTGGAGCTCCTGGTGGCGCAATGGGTTAAACCTTTGTGCCGGCAGGACTGCTGACTGAAAGGCCGGTGGTTCGAAACTGGGGAGCGGGGTGAGTTCCTGTCTGTCAGCTCTAGCTTCTGATGCAGGGACATGAGAGAAGCCTTCCACAGGATGGTAAAACACCCGGGTGTCCTCTGGGCAACATCCTTGCAGAGGGCCAATTCTCTCATACCAGAAGCGACTTGAAGTTTCTCAAGTCGCTCCTGACACACACACACACACACACACACACACACACCCCAACTGGAACTTGGGTTTAGAGTGTATTTCATTGGCATGGGGTGGGGTAAGGGGATCTTGTTTCCATGTTAGATTTTGTTTCCATATGATTTCAAGTGTTGGTTTTGCTCTAGAAAGCTTTAAACAGGGCATCTGGATGACCACCTTCATTCATATGAATTCTTCCAATCCTTGAGATCCACACCAGAAGGGTTTATTCAATGCCTCTTTCTTCCAAGACTATGCAACAGAAATAACCTTTTGTGCAATGTATACAGCAATACTCCTAGAAAGCTATTTAAGGCACACTGTTGCTCTCACTTCATCAAGTCCATTGTATCATCCAGTCATTCCTTTCTTGCTTGGTGTCATGTTAGCTTATTAAGTTTCCTTACTTTATTTTCACATTAAATTATTTTGTTTGTTTTTAAAGACAATTTGCAACATCTGTTACAGTGAGGAATGATAAGCTATAAAGGAATAAACTGTTACATATAAAGGGGATAGTAGGGAGTAAATGGAAAGAGAATGGGTTTTAGAATTCATCTGAATGTATAGTCTTCACCATGTAACTTCATTGCCGTTTTGGGAATTTGTGGTTTTCAGAATGATGAAAGAAACAATGCCTGGGAATATTTATATGTAGAAGACAAGTACACAGCTCATCTCACTCTTTCTACTCACTCATTTTTTCTGCTGTGTCCTCCAGGTTTTCCAGAAGCGTTTCAATGGTTCGGTCAGTTTCTTTCGGGGCTGGAGTGACTACAAATTGGGCTTTGGCAGAGCAGATGGAGAATATTGGCTGGGTAAATAGCAATGGACTCTAACTACACAGATATCAGTAATTACAATGTCAATACATAAATGTCCTATTGCTGTAAACTTCAGCAAAAATACCAATTGGAATAATGAGGAGAATATCAAACTAATTCGTATAATACACAAGCATGAGAAACAAACACATAAGTACTGTTTACAATGGTGTAACAAACATAATATTCATGTTTTCCAAAACAATTAGTTGAATCTTCCAAAGGTCATGTGAACAAACTTCAACAATTCAATATTGTGCCATGTGAATTCAAGATGTGATAAAACGTCTTGGGAATACAACAAGGTTCCCGGATACTGGGATACTGGGAAATAATGCTCATCATCTCCTTTTCTCAGCAAGCTGAATATTGCTTCTTATTCTCTCAGTTGCGTATGCAAGGTTAAGGCTAACCTAAGACTGTCTTTTGGGGGGTGTTGCAGCGGTTGGTTTTCTCTCCTTCTCTACCAATAAACATCCCAGGACTGAATGTTTTGCTATGATAGTCTTATTTTGTAGCCATTCAGTGGTTGGCCACAGACTAGCAAGCCTTTATAGCCAGATGCAAAATAATTACATCATCTATCAATGGTTTGAGAGGACCCCAGAAGACCTTAATGGATAAGGATGTAGCCAAGTGCTTCTCTGATTTCCAGCTAAATTGTTATGAGCCCATGGGGTGGGTGGGATGTTGAGAGGAGATACACATTATAGTTCCACCTGTGGAACATTTCCTCTGTGTTCTGCATCACAGAATATTGGCCGTTATGCACTCAAGGACCTTGTTTCTTCTTTTCTTGGCCCACTCTCTAATCCCATTCCCCTCGGCTCTTGACCCAGACTTCTTTCTCTCCCAGAACATTCTGGAACACTCAGATGTTTGGATTTCTACTTTAAGTTGTTAAAACAAGTCCCTAGGCCTAGAATTTTTCAAGTGCGTTGTGTTTACTGTGATTTGGGGCCAAAGGAAACAATCAAGATCCCTCTTGTTTCTTTGTCTGGCCAGCATTTCCCTGTCAACAGATGTTGGGCCAGACAAAACCATAGCTCCTAAAGCGATTGAGAGAATGGGATTTTTCTGTAGAATTTGAGTACCTCGTGAATAGTTCCTTTCCATCCTGTGACCTAGGATTGCAGAACATCCACCATCTGACCCTCAAGCAGAAGTATGAATTACGTGTGGATCTGGAAGATTTTGAGAACAACACAGCTTTTGCCAAATACGCTGACTTCTCCATCTCACCAAATGCGATCAGTGCAGAAGAAGATGGTTACACATTGCACATATCTGGTTTCACTGATGGAGGGGCAGGTGAGAAAGCTGAGATTCTGAGTGCCTATTATTCCATTATACCCAATTTATTTCTTCCAAATTCCCCTAAGCTTTCAAATATGCAAGTTCTTGAAGCAACATGTTTCTTTTCCTAAGAAGTCTGGAAAAGGGAAAATATTTACTTTCACCAAAATTGACAAAGCCAATAAAATTCAATAAAAAATCAAATGCTTCTAGAACATGGCCATACAGCCCGAAAAACCTATAACAACCCACCAATAAAATTCATTTTTATCCCCAAAATAAATATATTTGGGGTATGTTGGCAGAAATTATTGGAATTTCTGCAAACTCCCCAATTTAGGGATAATGTTTGGTCCCTGTACCAAGTAGACCACACATCCTTCTAGTTTGGACTTAATTCTAGCCCCTCCCCCCCCAGCTTCTGGACATAGCTATTATTGGCATTTTTTCCCATGTCAGGAGTGACTTGAGGAACTGCAAGTTGCTTCTGATGTGAGAGCATTGGCCGTCTGCAAGGATGTTGCCCAAGGGATGTCCGGATGTTTGATACTTTACTATCCTTCTTGTGGGAGGCTTCTCTCATGTCCCCACATGGAAAGCTGGAGCTGACAGAGGGAGCTCAATTCATTCTCCCTGGGTTCAAACCGCTGACCTGTCAGTCATCAGTTCTGCTGGCAAAAGGGTTTAACCCATTGCACCACCATGGGCTCCTATTGGATAGGATGTCACCTTATTCAATAAGGCACATATAACAGGCATCTGGATTTTTTGTGTGCAAAAGTCAGGATGCCACAAGAGCTACTGACATTTCCACAGCATGTCAATGTCAAGCTAGCAGTCAAATGGAATATTAATGAGGTTTATTCTTAAGAAAGCACATATCTTCCAATTGTCCCAGTTTGCCAGGGATAGTCTCAAATAACCCTTTGGCATCCCACTTTTTCCTTGCTCTTAAAATGTTCCACTATTTAATTCCTACTCTTCCTCCTCTTCTTCCTTGGTTGGTACAAACTGATATAAAAGTGAAAAAATAGTTTGAATTGAATTAACTGAGGTGGGGAGGGGAGAGGAGACAAAAGGGTGGAGTTTTTCCCACTAGGGGCACTTGCAAAAGCAAAATTCTGCAGCCTGTCCTGAAAATGTTTGCCATCTTAATGACACTCCAATGTTTGGCCACATACCTCCTAGTTTTCTTCCTAATAGTTTTTTCTTCCTCCTAATTTTTGCTCTTTCCTATGTTGGGAAAATTTTGTTCCAGAAGCCTTTATAAAACTCTTATGTCTGTCATTGTTTGCACTTTCACTAGGAGACTCACTGTCCTATCACAACGGCCAGAAGTTCTCCACCTTTGACCGTGACCAAGACCTTTACCTGCAGAACTGCGCAGCACTCTCTTCAGGTGCTTGGTGGTTCAAAAGCTGCCATTTTTCCAATCTTAATGGCTTCTACCTTGGTGGGGTTCATCTCTCCTATGCTAACGGCATTAACTGGTTCCAATGGAAGGGGTTCTACTACTCCCTCAAGAGAAGTGAGATGAAGATACGTCGCGTTTGAGAACCAAAATGATGTGCAGTCTCTTCCCATTCCTCATGTCAGCAGTAACTGGGAAGATGCTCTAAGATGGGTAAATTGGTAACATTTTTTTTTAAAAATCAAAAGTATGGCATTTAAATTAAGTTCCAGTTGTTTAACTCTCCCAAATATACATCAAGATCTACAACAGACCATCTACCAGTGATCAGTGCGATCCTCTGGAAAGAAAAACTTAATTTTCATGGAAGTCAGCTGAGTACACCAGCAGGGAGGAAACATAAAAGGGGTATGTGGCAGAAAGAGATTTCATTTAGCTATTGGTGGCAAGCAGCTATTTGTAGAGTATTCCCCTAGGCTGTGGATAAACAAAGTACAGCTCTCCAGATGTTGTTGGATTGGAACACCCATCATCTTAAGTGCAAACCAGTAAACTGCAATCGAACATCTGGAGAGATGACGTTTGTTAACTTCAATGTAAAGAGAAAGATAATGTGTCTAGAGACCAAAGTTTGACTCCTTGCTTGAACATGGAAGCCTATTGGGTGACCTTCAAGTCACTCATGGCCTCTGAACACACCTTGCCAAGAAAAACCCATGATAGGTTCATCTTAGGGGTACCATAAATTGGAAACAACTTGAAGGCACACAACAAAGCTAGCATGACCAATGATGAGTTGTGATCCAAGAATATCTTGAGGTCCCCCAATTTTGCCCATCTATCCTAGAGGGTAGACATAGAATCATAGAGTTGAAAGAGACCTCGTGGGCCATCCAGTCCAACCCCTTGCCAAGAAGCAGGGGAAAGTGAGACCCACAGGCTGTGTGTAACCTCCAACTTTACATTTTCAGGGCTAAGTCTCAGGTAATGAATTTAAAAGTAAACCAATTCTCAGATAATTTCCCACCCCAAATGCAAGGAAGCTACTTGCAAATGTAGCCTACCCCCAGAACCTATAACCACTCCTGAATGCCCCTTTCTGCTCTAGATCAGCTGAAAATTGTGATAGTAAGGACATAATATTACTTACAATGTACAGTGAGGTATGCAATGAGGAGGCAAAGGATGATGAAGGCTGATTCCTGTCTCCTCATACATATGGCCACCCCTGCAACGGGATTTTAGCCCTCAATTGAGAAAAAGATATCTATCCCTAGGTTGCAGCCTCAGGATTCAGCATCATGGGGTGAGTGGGATGGGGTGGGGTCAGTTGCCAATAGCCTGAGATCTCAAGAGAGCGAACTGGTATCATAGGCCCCATTTACACTGCCATATAATGCAGTTTCAAACTGCATTATATGACAGTGTAGATAGAGCCCTAGTCTCCTCCTCCTTTCTGACAGGCTGGTGGTTTCTTGTGTCCACATGCCTTGAATTCACTTCTTGACTTGTGGTGACCCTATGAATTCCACACTTGTTGGAGGTCTCCTATCCAAGCAGTAACCAGAACTGTCCCTTCTTAGCTTCCAGAGTCAGATGGGATTTAGTGCCTTGTGAGTATTTAGGCCCCAGGTGCCTCTTTTCCAGCTTTAAAGGCATTCCATATGAAGGTGCATTTCCCTCTTCTTATGAGTGGGTGGGATTTTCACTGCATAATCTGCTGGAAGAAAAAGTTAGGCGTTGTGGATATATGATGCCCAAACAGTCCTTTGTTTCAGTTGACTCTGTGATCACAGCATTGTATAGGATAAGGCTGGTGATGTATGCAGCCAAGTAAAACAATTTGTTTGGGGGGTGGGGGAGTAGAAAATGGAAATGTCAGCAGTGGTGATGGTGGTTGTGATGGAAGAGGGGTGCCTCAAGGATCTTGTTGGCATTAGGGATAGGAGTGCAAAAGAGATAAACTTCAGAATCAGACCAGAAATACACCTTGTATAACATTCTGGACTACAGCTTCCTGAATCTGCCAGTAAATATGGCCGCTAGCTATAGAAGTCTGGGAGGTGTTTCCCATAACAACTTTCCCAATATCTGGACAATAAACCACTCAAGCATCCAATAGCATGGATTAACTCCCCTCATAAAGGATTTTAAATAATTGCTAAAAACTACTGTTTCCTGAGTGACTTGGACAGAATGAACAGATGTGCTATTCTCCCACTAGCTTAAATCTGCAATGAAAATGGCCAAATTTACTTGGGTTAGAAACAGAATATTTCCAGTGTGTTTGAGCCCAAGACTGAGGGTATGTTAAGAGTGATTATGGTTCATATAGTGAATGACAATATACCCTGCCAAACAGAAGTTATGAGTCCTCCTATGTGTAATCTTTGGTTTCTACATTGAAATAAACATCCATTATCTGAAGTTGGGA